CTAAGACATAGGTGGGTGAGGTTCCATATAGGAGTCCCATCCTACACTCTACAGTCTCTTATTCTCCAAAACTTGGCCAGTTGTGGCCTTCTGTGTGCATCACACTCTGATGTACTGGGAAGCCTCACTGGTGAGGGTTGAGGGGTACATTAGCCCTTTCTCTACCCCTTATAATGCTATGTTCCATGAGCCTTAGTTGTAGAGATTCGACTGCAGATATGTAACCCAGTACTGAGCATCTCCCAGACCTATGTTCTCTGTGCCTGACCAGATGTGCAACTCTCCAGGAGCCTCCATCTGTTGCAAAAAGAAGCTTCTTTGATGAGTGTTGTATGCCATGTTTGTTGATGTAAGGGATGTCTCTTCTATCTGGCACTGCATTCCCTGCCAAGCAGCTCACAGATATATGTATGCATTAATGTTCAGGCATTCTACATGCGTTTCTCATAGGATTTCTAAGGCATCACTTTTCCCTCTAGGTTTCCTAGCCCCCCCCCCCGAGATTCACTCATCTCTACTTCTTTTGTTTCCCATCCCACTTCCCTCCTCCCTCCCTCCCTAGTCACGGTGCCCCCAATATTCCCATCCTCCCCCAATACCTCCTGACCCCCACAATCTATACTCTACTGACTTCCCTCCCTCTCGCACACCATGGTCCCTCCCTCCTTTCCTCCCTGCAGATTACTCCCACTTTTTCCAACTCCCTCAGGTAACATGTTCCCTACGCTCTCCCATTCAGGTTGCTTCTTTTCCTTTACCTCCATGTATCCTTTCCTTTTCGTTGGCTCCTGGTGTTACATCAGAATTTATATAGTCACATGTAAGAGATTGATGCTACAATCCACAATTGAGGGAGAACGTATGTCACTTGCTTTTCTGTATTTGTGTTCACTCAGAATAACGTTCTCTATCTCCATTCACTTATCTGCAAATTTCAAAATTTCATCTTTTCTTACTGCTGAGTAGAACTCCTTTGAGTAGATGAACCACATTTTCATTATCCACTCTTCAATTGAGGGACATTTAGGTTGCTTCCATCTCTTAGCTATTGTGAAAAGAGCAGCAATAAGAGCAGTCAGTGCTCTTAACTGCCGAGCCGAGCCATCTCTCCAGCCCCTAGATCATTACTTTTTAAAAAGGATATGTCAAGAAATATTTCTTTCTGGGGCTGGAGAGATGGCTCAGCAATTAGAGCACTGGTTGCTCTTGTAGAGGACCCAGGTTTAGTTCCCAGCACCCACATGATGGCTAACAACCATCCGTAACTCCAGTTCCAGGGGATCTGACAGCCTCTTCTATTCTCCATGGGCATTGCACAACAGGGGTGCACTTACGTGCATACAGGAAATAGAGTTATACACACAAAATTATATTGACCCTTTAAATCTTTGGTTATACTTTCCTTTTGGGTAAGACCCTACAGTTGGCCCAGATAAACCAATTTCTTTTTACCCTTAAGGCTGTTTGAGGATCTGTTTCTCAGGGGTCACATGGGCTTGGGAGGAGCCTCTGGCTCCTTTCTTATACCAGTTATGTCTATGTGAAGGTAAGTCAAATGTCCTGCTCGACCATGGCTGGCTTTGCTTGGAAGCATGGAGTAAATATTTCCTCTGTGTTGACCCTCCCCTTTGTAGACGGGACACTGGTTCAAGTCCATTTGATTGGGTCTCCATGGCCTCCTTGATCAAGAGGACAGGTGCCTCACCACAATTACAGGACATTTTAAGAGATGCTCATAGTCCCCTGGAACTTAGCCGACCTAGGAGGTCAAGGAGCAAAAACTGCCCTTTATGTCCCTCTGATCAAATTATTATAGGCCTCAAAATATGGCTGTTAAACATCCAAGAAGGTTAGTTCCACCAGTCTGTTACTTTTAATTACCATGTGCCATGTAGATAAAGCTTGGGTAAAGACCAAATGTTCTCAGATAAACCTTGCCTAGACAGATATTATATTCCTTGATCTAGTTGTATATATAATTTGTCAGTAGGTTTTTGCACTAATATGTTTACCTCTCATTTTTTAAAACTAGCTAGACATTATTTATCTCCTGCACTGTCTAACCCTTCCACCACAGTTTCTCCATTTAAGGTGCCCCCATTTTTCCCATTTCTCCCTTACTAATACCCTTCCCCTATGGTCCCACCTCTCTTGAGCACCTTCTTTCCCTTTATTCCCTAATTTTTTTTAAGAGTCCATATGTATAGCTAAAGGCTACATAGCAAGAAACAATGCCAGACAGGAGGTATCTTCCTTTGAGTTGTTGGTCAGGGTGGTCTATGAGACTCCCAGACAGTAATCAAGCATAGAACTAGGAAAATGGACAGCAAACCCCAATCTTATCTAAAGGAAAATTTTAGATTTTTTTTTTAAATTAAAACTCGTGCAGCCTCTATGGACAAAAATATGGAGGACTCTCAAAAAACTAAAAATGAACCTACCATATGACCTGGTTATACCAGTCCTTGGCATATGCCCAAAGGACTCATCCTATTGTAGAGACACTTGTACAACCATGTTTGTTGCTGCTCTTTTCACAATAGGTAAGAGCTGGAAGCAACCTAAGTGTCCCTCAACTGACAAATTGTTAACAAAAATGTGGTATATTTACACAACGGAGTTCTATTCAACAGTAAAGAAAGTTGAAAAAATGAAATTTGCAGGTAAATGGATGGATCTAGAAACTGTTATACTAAGTGAAGTAACACAGACTCAGAAAAATAAACGACGTACATTCTC